CTTTCAGAGGTCAAATTGCTGTCAAGAATATGAATTGGCTGCTTCGCATCAATTATTATTTATTTATATTGTGATTTTAATATTACTAGTAGGGGGGCCTATATATTTATTATGATTTCCCAGCTGCGACCTACAAGCTTTTATACCGTACCTGAACCAGAGAGCTCCATTGTCGTGAGCGTTTCAGTCAGTTGTGCCGCGCGGGGGGGGGGGGGGGGGGGGAGATGTGTATAAGAGACAGGATCTGCAAGTATACCATAGGTCTCCGTGGTCTAATGGGTATGTTACTCGCCTATACAGCGAGAGGTTGCAGGTTCGAATCCCGCCAGAGACACTTTTCATACAACTGTAATAAATGAACTTTTTGTTGAAGGGCTTGGTGACAGTCATCTTGTTCCTATTTGAATAGTGATTAGGCTGATATTAAAAGACAGTATAGATAGGTATTTGTGCATCAGAATTCCCTAAATCGAAAGTTCATGAAATGTTCCCCTGAGGTTAAGTGTAAATAAATGTTAAATAAATAATAAATAAATAAAGTGTTATCTTTTAAAATCATATTGCATCAATATGTATTGTGCTGCCTTATGGTGTAATTACCGTCAGAAAAATATCAGATCCTTAAATATTGTTAGCAATAGGCCTAATAGAATATTGAAGCTACTGTATAGCGAGTAGCCTATTATGTTCGTAGAAAATGGCGTTATATATATAAATAGCCCTACTATGAGTGAGTATTTTAGTCAGGTGTATGATAGTGCCGGGGGCGGGGGTTAAATCTGCATGTCATATATCTTATAGGTCTCTGTGGTCTAATGGATATGACACTCGCCCTGACAGCGAGAGTTTGCAGGTTCGAATTCCGCCAGAGACACTTTTTATCATGCAACTGAATTTTTTAAAAAAGGAAAGTTTCGTTGAAGGGCTATGCTTGATACAATTATAAAATCTTGTTCAGTTTGATTCCTAAATGCCGGGAAATGAGCTATCACGGCTTCTGAGATGTCTTTTAATGACTTTAAGTTCTTCAAAATTCAAGGTTTTCCCCCTCTTGAAAACGGTCAGGTAAATTTTCTCATTTTTATTACAGTAAATAAAACATTGCCGCTACATGAGACTTATTGTCATTTAATAAAAACTTAATTCAAGTGCAGTGACGTAGCCAGAATATTTCTGTAGGAGGGCAGTGTGGGTCCGTGATATAATTTGGGGGAGGGGGACAAGTGTTCTCATCGAAGCGAGGAAACAGATGCTGAGGGCCAGGCGGCCGCGAATGGCCCCCGGTCAGGTAAAATTTTACAATATGACTATATAAATGGCTATCTTACATAACCTCAGCCCGTTTGCTCTCAAATATAATGTATAAATCAAGTGAAATTTCTATGGAATTTAAGAATCAAAATGAACATCATATTGTTTTATAGCAGTTTATTAATTATACAGAACATTTTAAACCATGATGAAACTATTGTATTTTGTATCTTAATACTAATTACCATACAGTTAAATTTTTAGAAACATGAATAATGGGAACGGGATTGTACTTTAGCCATTGTGTTGCAAGAAGTAAAGTGTGTAGAGAATACTGTGAGTTTGTATATGATGCCTGTGATTGCCATGTATAGGCCTACTGTACTGTAAACTAAAACTACACAATATAAATTAATCATGTAGAAATGTCAATGAACCTCATTAGCCACCACAGGGGGAGCCA